ATGTTTTAAAATGAAAATTGGGATGATATAAGTTGGTATCAGAGCCATGGTTTGAGAGATTTCGACTCACGCTTACATGTTTCAGAAGTCAAACTAAGGACCAGAAATATTTTTACAAATCTATTTGAAAAAGAATTTTATACAAAGGGAAGGATGCGATGCGTACAGTCAGCCGGAGCTCAAAAAGGAAAGTAATTCCCAATATATCCACACTTGTTATAATTGTTTATATGTGAACTGTTAGAAATGCATGCTAGTATGAAAGCTAAGGATCTTTTTAGGAATTTCATATTAATATTTCATGCTGGCTAGGATGCCTTGTGCTGATATTCTGTACTTTCTAATCATGTGTTTTAGAGTTATACATAACTAGGATTCTATAGCCTTAGAATGCTTTTTCAGCTATACTTTATATTCCTTGTTTGGTTGTAGGCTTGGGGTAGTATCATTAATTCAACCGTATATCAAATCATGGATTATGTATGACTTTCATACACAAGGCGACTATCGATGTTAGCAGAGACTTTAACGGTACAAGAGCCTGGGTAGAGGGAATCGTGGAAGGAAAGTCTAGGAAAGCTTAAGTGTTAGTCTCTTTAGCACTAGGTGTGTTAAAAAGCCTAACCGTATTGGATTGTCGTGATTTGAAAACATTGGGACAATTCATGGAACTTCTATGGATAGGTGTGGAAGGTAATATGGGCCCATACTACTGGAACCACATGATTCGTACAAGAATCAAGAAAAGCCATAAGGTTACTAATGAACCGGTAGTGGTTAAATATTACTATAAGTTAGTTATATGATTACGTATTAATTTATCCCCATTTTATATCTTCAGTATGGTAATGATCACTAGAGCGGGCGGTTCTGTTTCTGGAACGGGCTCGGACAGGTCAGGTTTGAGTGATATTGATATACGCGATTAATAGAGACTAGGATAGCGGCGACCGTAAAGGAGATAATTCCATAAATGTTCGGGTCTATCAAGATCGAACTGGTTGACATGTTTCATGAGCATTACGCGTCGTAGCCGATGCTGCTACACCGCCGATAGGTAGGGAAATGCCCGACCGAGAGTTCACTAACATGAAACCCCCAAAGTTTGATTGTGTCAAATACCTAATTGCTAGCAGAAGTTTGTCGCAGATTGGTACGCAATTTACATACTAGCCTTTAATTTATAAACCAACAATCTCAGCTAGCTAAATGCGATAGGCAGTATACCTAATCGAACAGTAGTATAGTAAGAAGGTAGGGTGTCGAACACAAGGGGAACGGGAATGATTAACAGTTAAAATCTCTACTAAAAGTTAACTAATTTAAAATAAAGAAATTGGGGGTTCTTCTCTGGTTTTTCAACTCCAGATTCCTTAAGCAATTAACACAAAAGCATATTAACTAATAAAGAACAATCAAAATTAAGTTTTAAGACTAGATATTAAAGACTTTTGGTTAGATACGATTCACTTACTCCTATGTTTTATTTCTTGGAAAGTGAAATGGATTAAGTTGTTGTTACTTACCGATTCATAAGATGATTAGAATTTATGATCAAAAGAATATTCCTTTAGTAAAACAAGTTTATTCATTCACTAATCAAGTGGACAAACAAACAAGCATACTAGTGTTAAGTTCGAATTATTCTATACTTGAACTAGTGAATGACATTAATGTTTAATAACATCAATTCAATACATGAATGATTATCATATATTAGCTTTCAAATTAATTTAACAACGTTTCTATTTAACACTAGGTTTCTTTTATCAAAACACTAGTCATATAACTTTGATGATTTCAAAATCATCAGATACAAGCATACCAAAACAAAATTTTCATCTAATTTTAGTAAAACTCAGCAATAAACAGAAAAGTAGTTATCCTTAACACAAAAAGGTTCTTTATCAAGCTATCATCACAAATAAGAAACTAGAAACAATGAATAATCCAATAAATCAACACATAGTCAGTAAGATCATCTACTCTAAATAGAAGTTAGGGTTTTTAGCCCTTAACTACTAGAAACAAACAATTAATGACGTAATTTACTTTGCAAAACATGATGAAAAACAAAGCAAACAAGTACTTAAAAGTAATGTTGCCTTTTAGATCTCTTCAAAACCAAACTCTTAACGAAATTAGATCTTCCAAAGCCTCCTAGGATTCCATGGTCTTCAAATATCATGAGTTTCTTGAACCATAAGCTAGGGTTGACAGCAGAACACATATTCCCCAAAGCGGCAACTTGATCGCGAATCTTCCTTTTGCCACGACGTGGCACCAGATGTCCACGCCGTGGGACTTTAGAATCCTTAGAATCTTGACTTTAGTTGACTTGATCCAATTTTCCGTGCTTCCAGCTCCGCATTTTGCTTGCTTTCAATCCCGAGCATGTCTTCACGACTACAAAACAGATTTCAAACATATTAACCACCTTTTGTCCTAAAATAAGCACAATTGTAGCTAAAAATATTAAGATAATGTACAAAATATATGAATAAGTATGACAATATAATAATACCCCAGACGTGACTTTTTCTTGCCCCCCAAGCAAAAGTGATTTTTATTATCATTATACCATCGCATCAAAACCTTAACTACAAACATCACACAAGACAATCCATTTTGAGCTCATCCATTTCACCGAAACCGCAATGCATGTATTTGTTTCTAATATTCCTAAGTACTTCCCAATTCTAAATACTCATAATCCTCATAAACACTTCCCACTTATTTTGAATGACATTCATTTTATGCATCCCTCCAAATATATCGTCAGAAATCTTTCTTAACCTCAAAGTAATGTTTTATTAATCTCCCAAACATACATATAGAAAAATAACCAAGAAAATAAATTATAATAAAATAAAATACTCATTTGACTTTTGGCAATTTCACTTCATTCTTCAATCTTCAAATCTTCTGATTTTGTAAGTTTTTATTCACTTAAAATTTCTCTTTATTTTTCACTCAAAACTAAAAATCTAAAAAGAAAAATATATGCTTAATCAAGGGAGCTTAACTTCAACCCGTATTGGTTAAAGGAATTAGTCTAAAGTGCAATGACTACACAAGCATTCATGGATACATTTCTCGTACACGATGCTAAGCTTATTATGTCCCTCAAACTACACAAGGTTATGTTTTTGTCACATGATTTCACTAGGAAAGTGAAGCCACAAATACACTAATACATATATTGGCTCACCTAAACATTGAAGCTTGAATCAGATCATCCCTCACAACACTAACAGCCTAAGTCCCAACACAACAATATAACAATTTATTTAACTAGATTTCAAAAGTAGACCATTATTTCAATTCTTTATACTCTAAAGTTTTTTCTAGTCATTTTTTTTATTTTTCAAATCAATATGCTTGCATTCTTATATTCGAACCCCTACCACACACTTATTTCAAGTAATGTCCTTATTGCATGCTTAACACAATTAATGAACATAAAAGTAAAGAGGAAGAAAAAGGAACAGACTCCCCTAGGATAGAAGTGGCGAGGTCGAAATGGAATATTGTGTGGTTAACATCTTATGTAATAGCTAGAAAACAGTACTTCTGGACTGCTACATGAATGAACTTCTAATGCACCAAGAAGACGTAAACCTAATAGTTGTGAATAGTTCAATCAAAAACTGAAATTGAGACTCCCCATGCCGTGGCATGGTGTTTCCATGTCGTAGTCTTCGAATAATACAAAATGGATCACGATTTTTTTAATGCCCACATCATGGCATAGTATTTCCTAGACCTGCACCTTTGCGGTCTCGTACCGGTCTCGGGTCAGTCTCGAAACGGTCTGGTCTTTTTGTGGTCGGTCTCCGAGCGGTCCGGGTTTTTTTCGAACCGGTCTCTTCCTGTCTCGGGGTGGTCTTTTATCGGTGCGGTCTTTTTTCATACCAGTCTCTTTCGGTCTGATATTTTTTTGTACCGGTCTTGGTGTTTTTCGGTGCAGTCTAGCGGTCTTTTCGTACGCCGTTTTCTGTTCAGTTTTCAGGTTTTCAGTCGGTTTTTGGGTTTTCTTGGCCCGATTTTGTTATTTGTTGGTTTTTTTAGTTTCAGTTTTGAATTTTCCCTTAACAAATGTGTGATTAACAACAAAATGATAGATTAAACTTTATTAAAAATGATACACTAAAGTTTAATAAAAGAAAAAAAGAAAAGAAGTTAGATAGTGTGGGATTAAAAATTGTGTAATTAATACAAAATTGATATATTTATAAACTTTGGTTAGCGGTCTTTTATGAGATCGGTCTCAGACCGGTCTCGGGTGGGACTCGGACCGGTCTTCTGTTGTTCTCGGAATGGTCCGATCTTTTTTGGGATCGATCTCAAAACAGTCTGGTTTTTTTCGGACCGGTCTCGGAAGTTCTCAAGTCGGTCTTTTTTCGATCGGTCTTTTTTAGGACTGGTCTTTTTCTAGTCCAGTCTCGCTTTAGACCGGTCCGATCTTGGTTTTTTTGGGGTTCGGTCCGAGACTGGTATTTTTGTTTAGGTCTAGTGTTGCCACGTCGTGGCTGCTGTAACTTCAGAAAAGTATATACTGCCCGAACGTGATTTTGAGTTAAGAAAAGGTAATGTCGGGATGGCATACCCCTATATTATGATGTTAGACCAAATTCTTCAGTTATCATGGCTATAGAACTCGAAAATTCGCTAAAAAACTCTTCTTGATTCACAAGTTGTACCCCTCAGTTAATATTTTGTCACGTCTCTCATGAATCAATATCGCACTCTCCTATCAAGTCGCTAAACTTAATGCCAGCATACCATGACTTCTAAGAAAACAAAAACAAAATCAAGAAGTAAAAGGAAAAAAAACCATACATCAAAAATTACGATAATCCTACATTACAATAATCCTAAACACACCAAATAAAAACAAATAGTTTTAAACACTCCAAAAACATAAAAACAAAGGATAATCACTCATGATCATCATCCTATCGAGCTCCACTAGGGTCGGCACCTCCATCGCGCTCCGCCTAACGCTCCTCCCATGTCGGAATGTAGGAGTCATAAACAGAAGCTCCAACCGGGAGCGCTATCGACAAGCGATGCATCATCGCCTCCATCCAGTATCCCAAAAATTTCAAACCCCTACCAATATCATCATCGTACAGTAGGGACATCACGTGGTAAGGATCCATGGATAATCCATCCCCCATGAGTACATCTCGAGGCCCCTGATCATCCACTCTCAGTCGCACATTCCGACGTTCTTCTGGCACTTCAAACTCATCTTCTAAAGGTACCGAGTAGTTTTCATTTCCCAAATCTATCACAATGAAAGCAGTTTTAAACAACGGTGGGTGCAAATGACGATCATCCATCCTAGTGAGCAATGTTGGCGCATGCTGATAAAATATACCAAAAGAGTGGGCAAACTTGTTAACAATCACCCTCCCCCCATAAATAGGTGATCATGTCCTGCTTTTGGCTGCACGATCAGTCATAAAATCTGCAACATAATATGGAAGGTGGCAAAACATGTTTGGTGTAATAATACACCATAAGAAGAACACATCGAGTCAAGGCACACGATCCCCTTCCATTTAATTATTAATGGAAAATGTGATAATCCTATGAATAAATCTATGCACAGTCTTCCTAATAATGCCTTCGAGTGTGGTGCCTGGTGTATAGGGACCATTTGCTATTGTGGTCCACCAATCGGATTCTGAAACACGTCCTGGTAAATGCTTGCGGCAGTGATCCAGGAAAATAGAAAATTCAATAGAAAGTGCCTCAGATAGGTTGTAAAGATCCAACCGTCATGCTAGTTCCACCAGCCTACATTCCTTTCTTTCCCCACCTAGACATAAAGTAAAATTTATGGGATCATTGACATCATCGCGCTTTATGAAATGAGTTGTGGCGAAGAAATCCATACATAACTCAATATAAATTGGCTCTTGGATCCAAAACAACCTTCTCTACTCGGTGCAAATGACTCGAACCCCATCTTCCATAAACAATTTTGTAAGATATGGCTCAACTGCTTCCCCAAGCCCTGCCTCATTAATCCAAGCCCACTCCAAAACTGGTGGTATCTCAATATCCTTTGTCCTTAACCAACCGAGCTTGTTTTTCCATTCCAAGAGTATACCAGGTGCCACTACCTCGGGAAAATTATACTACACGGAATCCGGTTGTCCTTCTTCATTCCTTCGTTGGAAAGCATGTCTTTATGGTCCCACTTCCTGCAAAATCAGATAACCAAAATACAACCAAAAACATCCACAAATCAGAAAAATATAAGAAAAAATTGCTCATTGTCCAGTGCCCATGCAGTGGCGTCGTCTGGCCATGCCGTTGTGGAAGAACTGGTCGGTAATTCTGTCAAAATCGGGACGTTTTTCCTTCAGTGAATCCATTCCAAACAAAGGGGGTTTTGTCTATGCTATAATTTAAGAACATTAAACATAGTTTACACCACAAAAAATGTCAAAAAAAAAATCGACCAACCCCAAAAACCCTAAATTTCACTAATCCTAAAAATCAATAGAATTGCTCAAATCAAAGCATCAATGACTAATAATAAGCTCAATAACGTAGTTTGAAGTAAGAAATTACATACCCTGATGACGAATTTTCAAGAAAAATGAGGAAATCAAAAGAAGAAGCGGAAGTTCTTCGTGAGGGTGAGAGTGACAGAGTGGGGGGAGTTGTTAGTTTAGGTAAAAACTGAAAAATGAGGCGATTAGGGTTTAAAAACATATTATTGCATTAAAATCGGGCCCACGACGTAGGAACAACTCCTCCATGTCATGGCGTTTTTCAAAATCGTGTTTCGAGAAAACGTTGAAGCACAAAACATGGGAATAGCTCCTCCACGTCGTGGTTGCTAGGTTTTAGAAAAAAAAATCAAACACAATTTACCACACCCTACACTTTGTTTGTTGCCAACCCTCACATGAACAATTAGTAGACAATAACAAACGAGTGAAAATCCTTTTAAAACAAGCTAAAAAGAAAGTAAAACAAAACTCAAATAATTAAAATGAAAGGTAAAGAAAACTCAAACTGCAGGTTGCTCCTGTAAGACCTTCTTTTTTAGGAGTCTTAAGTTGGACTCCTTCCCGATCAACGTTGTAGCAGTTGCTTCCAAAACCATGTCCTCTCCTTCTTTATCTTCCCTAGGTATTCCTTCTTCTTAATGCTTCACTCAATGCCCATTGACTTTAAAATTCATCCCATCTCCCTTAAATAGCCAAATAGCTCCATGTGGAAATGTTTCCTTGACCACAAATGGTCCTTACCAACGTGTCTTTAATTTTCCCGGAAAGAGCATCATCCTCGAGTTAAAAATTAAGAATTTTTGACCTTGCCCGAATTCTTTGTTCCCTCTTAACCTTGCGTCATGCCATTTCTTCGTTTTGTCCTTATAGATCAAAGAGTTAGTGTATGCTTCCTTTCTTAACTCTTATAAGGCATTCAACTGCATCAAACGGTTAGTACATAATTCGGATATTTCAAAATTACAAGTCTTTAAAGCCCAAAATGTATTGTGTTCGATCTAAATCAGAAGGTGACACCTTTCACCAAAAACTATTAGATAAAGTGTAGTACTAATTGGGGTTTTAAAAGCGGTTCGAAATTCCCACAATGCATTATCAAGCTTCTCGGACCATTCCTTTTTATTACTACCGACCTTTCGATTTGTTACTTCATATTTTTGTAACATCTTTGCAACTTGTTTATTGCAAATGTGGGTTCCCTGATCACTAATTAATCCATTAGGCATACCAAAAGGAGAAAATAAGCTTTCTAGAATCTTAACGACAACATGTGCGTCATTAGTGGGTAAATATTGCACTTCCGCCCTCTTTGACAGGTAGTCGGTCGCTACTAGGATGTACTTGTTACCTTGTAAGGATAGCAATGGTCCCATAAAGTCGATACCCCAAATATCAAACACCTCACAAACTTCAATGATATTCTAAGGAATTTCATTATGCGAGGAGATGTTGCCTGATCGTTGACGCGAATCATATTCTTTGACAAATGTAGACGCATCCTTGAAAATTGTGGGCCAAAGAATCCCACATCAAATACTTTCTTTCCCATGTATTGTGATCTAAGATGTCCTTTGGTGGGTCCACTATGGCAATGATGTAAGATGTCTCTTGCTTCTTTCCCAAAAACACATCTTCTTATGATACCATCAACGCGTCTTCGGAATAGATAACGCTTGTCCCAAAAATAGTACTTAAGATCGGAATATAACTTCTTCTTTTGTTGATAAGAAAGAGCTTTTGGAAGGTAATTTCTTGCAAGGTAGTTCATGATGTCCGCGAACCAAGGCTCTTCTCCCAATATAACTATTAAGTACTCATCTATAAAGTTATCATCAATCACTTCTTCTTTCAATACCTCGAGTTCCGGATTATCTAATCTCGAGATATGATCGGCCGCCACATTTTTCATTCCCTTCTTGTCTTTTATCTCAATGTCAAACTCTTAAAGTAAAAGCACCCATAGGATCAACCTTGGTTTTTCATCTTGCTTGCTATAAAAATATTTTAAGGTAGAATGGTCAATGAACACAATTTTTTTTGACAAGATTAAGTAAGGACTGAATTTATCAAAAGCATAGACAATGGCTAATAATTCTTTCTCCGTGGCAGTGCAAATTTCTTGAGTTGGTTTGAGTGTTTTGCTCGCAATGTAGATTGGTTGGAAATGGTTTTCAACCCTTTGTCCTAAAAGTGCTCCTAATGCATAGTCGCTCGCTAGCATCACAAATCAACTCAAATGGAAGGTTCCAATCCTGGGCAATCATAATTGGGTGGGGGGGGGGGGGGGGCGGGGGGTCGTCAAGTATTTTTTCAAAGTTTCAAAAGCGTTTAAAAAATCATTAGAAGAATCAAAGTTAGCATCTTTTAAAAGAAATTGAGTTAAGAGTCTTGTTATTTTTGAAAAATATTTCATAAACCGGAGGTAAAATCCCGCATGACCCAAAAAACTCTTCACCCCTTTCACGTTTGTTGGAGGTGGTAAAGTCTAAATTGTGTCAACCTTTGCTCGATCCACCTATATCTCTTCTTTGGAAACCTTATGCCCTAATATTATTCCCTCTCTAACCATGAAATGGCATTTTCGCAATTCAAGACCAAGTTGGTCTCTTCGCACCTAGCAAGCATCAAACCAAGGTTAGATAAAAAATTATCAAATGAAGAACCAAAAACAGAATAATCATCCATGGACTTCTCCGCCATGTCATGAAAGATGGCGGTCATGCGTCTTTGGAAAGTCACCGGTGCGTTACATAAACCGAAAGGCATCGGGCGATGAGCAAAGGTCCCGCTTGGACACATGAAAGTTGTTTTATCTTGGTCTCTTGGATCAATCTGTATTTGAAAGTAACCTGAAAAAAGTCATCTAAGAAACAATAGAAAAGGTGATCGGATAAACGTTCGAGCATTTGATCAATAAAAGGTAAATGAAAATGGTATTTTCATGTAGCATCATTTAACTTGTGATAATAAATGCACACTCGCCAACCAGTTACCGTCCTCGTAGGAATGAGATCATTCTTCTCGTTTGTCGCTACCGTTATTCCGCCCTTCTTTGGAACCATGTGGACCGGGCTCATCCATTGGCTATCCAAAATCGAGTAAGTTATCTTGGCGTCCATCAACTTCATCACCTCCTTTTTCAACACCTCTTGCATCTTTGGGTTCAGTCTTTTTTGTGGCTGTACCACTGGCTTCGATCCTTCATCCAAGATAATCTTATGTGAGCAATAAGGGGGGCGTATTCCCTTAATGTCGGTAATCTTCCACGCGATGGCATTTTTCTATTTTTACCACAGCTCAACCAAGCACTCCTTCTCTTTAGGCTTTAGACCAGCTGCAATGATCACCAGTTTATGTTCATTGTCTTCTAGGAAAGAATTTTCCAAATGATCGGGTAAGGGATGCAATTTAGATTTTTGGCTATGTTCAGTGGCCATGGCATGGGCATCTGCCTTCCATTCCATGGGGCTACATTATGGCCCATCTGATCGCGATTTCTCTACTTCCCATGCCATGGCAGGTATTTGGCCACATCGTAGGAGTTCTTCAGCTTGTTTTTTCACTTCTTCATACTCGATTTCTTCCACCAGCCTCTCTAGTTCTTTGTGGTAATGTTCGACATCAAAATCATATTCCTTCAAAGTCATGTACCCCTCTGATTTATTCTCTTTCCATTCTTTAATTTCTCTTTCCAAAAATGTATCAAAAGTATCCACCGAGAAGACAATGTCATCACCAATTATCGAGTGCTTAATGGCTCGATTAAACACCAAATGTAACGGCATCCTATCTTATACGAAGGGACAACTTTT